TGGTTTATGGTTGGTTTATGGCTGGTTTATGGCTGGTTTATGGCTGGTTTATAGTTGGTTTATGGCTGGTTTATGGCTGGTCAGATAAAAGAAAAATCGTCTCGTTTTTTTTTTAATCCTCACATCTCAGCAACCCAATGTTGCAGACCATAAATATCAAAGGGTACATCATCAGGTTGCAAAGATATAGGATTTAGAAAATTTGAGTTTGTTACAATGACTCAATCCCTTTAAAAATCCACCAATTAAAGCAATCAAATTTGCCAAATCCTTGAATACAGTTGTTTATTGTTATCGGATTTTCTAAGGAAAAAAATCAGAATTCCAAATGTTGAAAGATCCATATTTTCTGGTTGTGTTCCAGGAAGATAAATGTTATCAGAAACTACCTAAACTTGACAAAATAAATTTAAACTTTTCCATCTTTCTGGAAAGTTCTTCTATTCACACGATACTATAGGGAATATCTACTGGATATATGTAAGATAAAAGTTTATATTGCTCCATCACAAATTGTTAAAATGTGGTTCATTTCTCTCTAATATATTTTTTGCTTGCTAAGGAATTGAGTCTTTGCCACAAGATCAAATTTTCTAATTCTTATATCTTTGCAACCTGATTTTGTAAACCGTTGATTATCTATAGTTTGAAATATCTAAGGTCTACTACTTTTAGTTGCAAAGATAAAAGGATTAGAAAATCAGAGTTTGTGGCAAAAACTCAATTCCTTTACACACAAAAAACATATAATATTCACAATTAAGTTCATTGTTTTATCGCATTTAAAACTGCCTTTAAAGAAAATTTACCTTAATCTTTTGTTAATCTAGAGATTAATTTAATCTTTATTCGATATACCGTGGTAATCCTACCCTTCATTAAAAACTGATAAGAAGAGATCAAGCATTGAGATTAAGGTTTCGGGATTATGAGTATCAAACAAAAAATATCCCAGCTCTGTTATAATATGTAACTTGGCTGAATAAAGATATTTATTTATATTCAAAGGTCGTCTTCAATTATCTTATTTATATTCAAAGGTCGTCTTCAATTATCATGTTTAGTGGCACAACATGCATGTATTAAGGCCACAATATTTTTTGCTTAAAACCCTAGTTTAGATTTTATTTATCAATTCTGATCGACATTTATAGCTTTCTATTTGAAATATATTTTGAGAGCTCGGATAGAAAATTAAGTATTTATTTCATTCTTGTCCTGTATTATATAGCGGGAAAGAAATTTACAGGGGTATCAGTATAGCATCTAGATACAATGAGTTTTTATTTATGTAACAATAGGCTTACTGTAGGTGTTTTACGTTCCACATTTCTAGCATTAACATAGCGGTTTGTTGGGTTTGTCTTCAAGTCTGTTTTTGAAAATTAAAATTAAAAAAAGTTTTATTTTTTTGGGGGGGGGGACGACTTTTTATTTTTTTTTGGGGGAGGGGGAATGGGAATTTTTGACTGGCAATAAACCGTTACGGGGGACATATAAGGACCCAATTTTTTTGGCCCTATCAGTTTAGCCGTTCTACTGATAGACAAGCCAAATATATATGTAGATACAGTGGCGTTTTTATCAATACAATAACGACGACTTTTCGATTAATTTCTAACAAGTTTTTTAATTACAAGTTTAGAAGTAAACAAAATGAAGCTGTTAATTGGCAGCTTCTCTTTGTTTCCATGTTTGTGGGTATACAATCCATGCTGTATAGAAAACATTGGTAGAAATAAAAATCGAAATTAAAAATCGTCTTCATTGTATTGATATTCACGACGAAGGCTGTAGACATATGTTTTCTCTATCTATCTTGTTGTTTGATGATATTATCGGGTAAAACGATTTTTTGTTTATTTAAACTTAATTTTTGATCGCCTTTGTAACTTGTTACAATTCAAAAATAATTTTTTTGTATTCTAAATATACTCCAAAATATTCCAAATATGCTCCAAATATACTCCAACATATTCCAAATATGCTCCAAATATACTCCAATATATTCTAAATTATTACAATTTATTCAGAAACCTTTTAATATATGCTAATATACTCCATCAATATATTCTTGTTTGGATAAATTGACTATTCTATTTTGTTTCAGACCTTAAATCTGGAGAATAATAAATTAAAGCAGCTACCCATCTCCCTGGGATCCTTGAAACAGCTTCGAACGCTCAATCTCTCCGGGAACTGTTTAAAGGAGCTCCCCACCTCCCTCTCCTCCCTGAGCAACCTAACCACGCTAGACCTGCGGAATAATCCTAAACTAAAGAAGATTCCGGTTGAGTTCTCCGGGTTTAGATGCCTAGTGAACCTGCTCCTGGATCCTAAACATATCTCCTATCCTAGCTCCGATATTGTGAACCAAGGCACTGAGGCAATAATGAGGTTTCTGTGCAAAGGTCAGCATTAAACCTAATTATTTGTAGAGCCGGTGTCATGCACCAGTTCCTCCCCTGCGACAACTCTTTCCATCCTATTATTTTAACCATTTTAATACAATTGTAGACATTAAAAGCGACGTTTAAACACTTAAACATCTAATATCAATGGACAAAAGTAGTAAAAGTATAAACTTGTTGTGTTTTCACCCTGATAATTCATTTTTTAATTATATGCGTAATTTTCAATAGTTTAAAATCACTTTAAATGTCGAGAAATGGTTAAACCTGTTCATGGATTCATGCTGGGGGGAGGGGGGCGGAGAACTGATGCACGACACCGGGTAGTCGGAGCCAATTATACTTTTCTCTCACATTCTTCCTCATTACACTAATCGATTAATTACACGGCAGAGATATTCCCGATATACCAGCATGAAATTAGATTATCCGCCTTTAAACAGTAAGAGGACTATTAAACTTTTACGTTTTAAGAAATAATTTTCTAAAATTGTTTTAAAGAACATTTTAGAATTGTAAATGGGAAAATATAGTTTCCAGAAAATATATTAACTTTTCTTACAACAGTTGACAAACTCGAACATTACGGTAGAGGGGGAGGTAGGACAGATCTATAAATTTTACAATATATTTTTCTCTTTTATGTCATTGTAAATTTTTTCTTTTGTAAATGCTTGAATGAAATTTATCTGAACCTATTCTGTTCTACGCTGAACGCATTTTAATTAAATAATTCTGTATTCAGAGTGTGATATAGAATATATTGATCCGTCTGAGTGCCTTCCGATCCAAGCTAACGGAGAAAGTAAACCTGCTCCACCCTTGGATCCCTATCAGGATATAGTTACGTCACATCTCGCCAAGGCGGAAATGATTAAGGTGAGATAAAAATTTTCAATATTCATATCTTAGAAATAGATTTCCATGGCTACGTCTTGTATATTCCTATGTACTTAAGTATTCTGTGTACTATTTGTTATATATTTTTATGTACCAAAGTATTCTGTGTACTATATATTGTATATTCCTTTGTACTAAAGTATTCTGTGTACTATATATTGTATATTCCTTTGTACTAAAGTATTCTGTGTACTATATATTGCATATTCCTTTGTACTAAAGTATTCTGTGTACTATATATTGTATATTCCTTTGTACTAAAGTATTCTGTGTACTATATATTGTATATTCCTTTGTACTAAAGTATTCTGTGTAAAGAATAACTGCGCCTAACTTAAACTAATCCATGAGACCTTATCCAACAAAGTTTACGACTTCTTAAACTCATCTGTTGCAATATTATTTAGGGGAAACAAAGCAGAAACAGACAGTAAAACATCCAGGGAACAAAAACTAAATAGAAGCTATTTCTTTACTCTTTTAATAAAACATTATTGCAAATTTGTCAACGCTTATGATTCGAATTAGCAGTTCTTCATTTTACCTAGGGGGAAGGGGGGGGGGGAATAAGATTAAAAAATTAAATAGATTACGTTATTGTATTAAATCTTAGAAGATGTCGCAATTTTTTATAAGAAAGTCAGACTTTGTAATAAAAATTGTACCTTTCTTGATGGAAAAGTCTCTATATAAGGGCAGAACCACTCCTAGAACTTCTTAAGATCTGACAAATCTAAATATTATGTATTTATAGGAACAGAAGAGGAAGCAGTTTGCTTTGTTAGAGCAGCAGAAGAACGAGTCTAGTGCTGCTGAAATTAGGTTAAAAGAGCAGAATATGGAGAACAAGAAGAAGCTGCTTCAAGACCTAGCGCAGGTTTTTAGAAAGCATTTTTTTGAATAAAACAATTGATTTTCAATGATAAAAACTTTAAATAATTTTAACTATCAATTAAGTTTAATTCTACTAATGCACAGTCTCAGAAATTAAATACATATTCATAAAAATGTATGCTAAGGTTGGAACTTCATATTAGTGATCTCATTAGAATGCATTAATCCATATTTTTTGTGGCACCTCAGATAACGTTAATTCCTTGTGTATAACTCTATTCATGTTTAAGAAACAATGGACAGAAATTCTTCCGGCTTTTTATTTTCCTATTTCCTTTTTCTTCATTTATATACCTGATCCATAGGGAGGGTTGCTATATTTGTCTGATGTATTGTATATATATATACATTGTATATTTATATATATTTATTAATATACTGCAAATACCCCCCCACCCCCTCATTTTAATTAATTTAAGTAGATGGTAGGTGAATGAGGCGAGTAATCATTTCCTCTAATTACTTCATTTCTAAAAATTAAAAGTTTTAGTTCCGGATTTCTCAACTTAAGGTTCCTGCAGCTTAAAAGTTAGAGAATTGAAAGGGATGGGAATCCGTTTTGAAAATATATATTTGTAGGAGGAATCTAAGAAGGATGAGAGTATGAAGAAACTTCAGAAGGAGAAGGATGAGGAGAGATCTCAGCTGTTCAGTAAGATGAGCTCTGCGGAGAAACAGACCGATGTTCTTATCTCGGAGTTAATCACTTCGGAGAGTAGATATTCAGATCCTCAAAAGGTGGACTATTTATCATTGGGGGCATACTTTTGGAAATTATCTATAACAATGTTTTAATAATGTTAAGATCTTGAGAGAAGAATTTATTCTTTAATCAGGTGATGGAGGCCCTGGTGAAGGACAAGGAAGAGATGGAGAAGTTGTTCACGATCCACCAGCAGGACGTGGACAAGCTCAAGGAGAAGGAAGTACTAAGTAAGTTCTAGAATTATGCTTGACTGGTTAATGGACACTATTTTTATCTTGTTCAAAAGACTGTTGGCATCATTTTAAGTGCCTAACTCACAACAGAACCCTTCAGAAACCTTATTTCGGTCAATAACATGAAGAAGAAAAACATTTTCCTAGTATCTAATTCTGATAATTTTCCCATTGCTTCTGAAGTAAAAAAATGCGCACTTTGCAGAGAAACTACAAATGAAAAATCAAGTTAATAATTGATCAGACAAATCTTTGAAGGGTACCAAAGTGAATCGGACATGCCACCTGAGGTTCACTTAAATATACGTTTACAGTCCCAGTAAGTTGGTCCGTGTTTATATAAAAATTAAGAACTTTTCTCTTAAACATTTTAGAGAATTTGATGTCTCTCAGACAGCGCTTGTTTTTAATACCGCCTAAAATATTTCAATATTTTTAAATATACAATATTTCCAATATTTCTAAATATAAAATGTTTCCAATATATTCTCTTCTCCTGTAATATTCAATTTTTGGAAACAGCATTTATTCTTTACTTTTCCAAATATTGTATTCTCTTTGAAGTTTAAACATATTATATATTGTGTAAACATAATGTAGAAATTCAGGGTTCTTCCCGCCCTTCTGAACTGTCAATGAAATATTATCTACATTGCATTTATGAATTGTAATATGTGAATGATCAGTTTTTTAGATGAATTATTAATGGTTTGATTGGAATAATGCAATTAAGTGAACTTATATGGGCTCTACGCTCTTGGGCATTAAATAAAATTAGTAGCGATCCCATCCGACTTTTTTTTTATGATTCAGCCGGACCTCTCTTTCCTTTTTCGGAAACACTCCCTTTAAACTTACAAGAACAGTCTCATTAAGTGCATATTGCTGCACCCTGACCGACGAAGACTAGATAGATAACCCCATGTTCAGGATCTATGCAGCAGATGATGGAGAACGAACTGCAGAAGGAGATGACACGAAGACAGTACGAGGCTAGACAAGGAATAGTTCAGGATGCTCTCAAGTCTAGTTTAGAGAATGATAAAGCTGTGGAGAGTGCACTCACGAGCAAGGGAAAACATCAAGACGAGCTTATTGGGAAACTACTGGAGGATGAGAAGTATCAGAGAGAAATGTTCCAATCTTTGCTTCTCAACCAGGATCAAAGAGTTCAGGTAGCTTTTTTTTTAACCCCATGATAAGTTTCTAAAACATGAACAATGGTTCTTACCCTAGGTTCAATGCTATACCCTTAGATTCCCAATTTCTCCCATAGGCTCTAAACCTAAATATATAGATTCTAAACCTTATGCCTTATGGTTTTTACTTTCTCCTACAGGTTCTAAACAAGTTTTAAACCTAAAACTCTGGTTCTAAACCTTAAATTCCGGTTCTAAACCTTATACTTAGGTTCTAAGCCTCACAATCAGTGTTTTAACCTTTCATGAGGTTTTATTTATTGTACTCTATTTTTCTAAAATAAACTAAAATTCTCATATAGATTCTAAACTGTATACTTAGGGCTTGAACCAATACTAAGGTTCTAAACCGTATCCTAAATCATTACTGAGTTTCGAAACCATATCTGCAGGATCTATAAAATTTGAACTCAAATTCAAGGTTTAAACTTATTTTGTTAGAAAGTGTACTATTTTATCTTTTCAGTTTCATTTTATACCTTTATTGACTGTAATCCCCTCGGCATTAGACGGATATTGTTGAAATTAGAAGAATTTGATTTTAAACTATGATCCTTCAACATCAAATATTCCAGAGAATAATCTTGTTCAAGACAGGGAAGAATTTAGAAGATGGTAGGTATAAAAAATATGAGAGATATAAGTAGAAGGTATGAGAGTTATGTAATGTATGGAAGGTAGAGAGGTATGAGAGGTATCAAATGTATTTGAGTAATGAGAGTTATGGAATGTATGGAAGGTGGGGAGGTATGGAATGCATTGGAGCTATGAGATGTATGGAATGTATTGGAGCTATGAGATGTATGGAATGTATTGGATGTATGAGAGTTATGGAATGTATTGGATGTATGAGAGTTATGGAATGTATCGGAGGTATGAGAGTTATGGAATGTGTTAGATGTATGAGAGGTATGGAATGTATTGGATGTATGAGAGTTATGGAATGTGTTGGATGTATGAGAGTTATGGAATGTATTGGATGTATGAGAGTTATGGAATGTGTTGGATGTGTGAGAGGTATGGAATGTATTGGATGTATGAGAGTTATGGAATGTGTTGGATGTATGAGAGGTATGGAATGTATTGGATGTATGAGAGGTATGGAATGTATTGGAGGTATGAGAGGTATGGAATGTATTGGATGTATGAGAGGTATGGAATGTATTGGATGTATGAGAGGTATGGAATGTATTGGAGGTATGAGAGGTATGGAATGTTTTGAAGGTATGAGAGGTATGAAATGTATTGGATGTATGAGAGGTATGGAATGTATCGGAGGTATGAGAGGTATGGAATGTATTGAAGGTATGAGAGGTATGCAATTTATCGGAGGTATGAGAGGTATGCAATTTATCGGAGGTATGAGAGGTATGGAATATATTGGCGGTATAAGCTAAATGGAACGGAGAAAATCGGAGGAATGGAAAATAACACTTCTGTTAAAAATGGGAATATAATGGATGATGGGATATGAAAAATGAAGGATACAAAGAATGTATAGATTACGAAGATCTAGGTTTATATAAATGTGATGGGATATGATGGGGAGGAGGGGGAAATCCTAATATGAAAGTTTTAAACCCGCAGAATTCTGTTCCTAGACTAGAATGGCATCTTCCACACTTTATTTTTATTGCTTTCAGGATTCTTTTCATAAGGAAGAAAATGTTTGGTAAAATATCTAAATTCTTTATGTTTCAAGATCCCATTTTTACCTCGTGAAAGATATAACATTACAATTCATACCATTTCAAAGATCTTATTTTACACTCCGTCTTTAAACTGCTCTGTCCACCCCCCCCCCCCCCNGTGTTTCTAATAGCTCTCATCATTAAAAATATAAATGGGAATATGTTGTGATTTCAAAATCTTTAGAAAATATTTTTGTTTGTTTCGAAAACTTTTATCTTGATTTCCATGTAAACTGTCACTGCAAGATTTAGCTTTTGTCGGAAGAATTACATTTCCTCAAAAAATGAAAGAGTTTGGATATTCCATTCTCTAGTTCTTATCTCATCCTTCTCCGGACCAGGTTCAGGGTTCCCCTGGGATACTTTGGGTTCAGGTCTCCCGAGTTCTCCTGCCAAACTTAATCCTGGCTCACCCTATCAAACCGTGTTAAAGCCTAGATATTCGCTTCTCAGGGTCTAAAAATAGTATTGGACGGAGTTTCCATTCTCTTTTCTTGCTAACTAGAAGAGAAGAATGGATCCATTGTTCTGAAATTAAATGTTTTTCTCTTTCTAATTCTTGTAAATAGGAGATCAGTGGACAGATGGATCTGATCCAAAAGGAGCTGGCGACACTCACCATGGTCGAGATGAAGAAACGAGATCTCAAGGTATAGAAGAGAGTAGAGACCAGTGAAAGGAGATGGGACAGGGCTAGGAGATAAAGAGATAGGTCAGGGGTTTTTGCATGGACAAGGAGTTCAATCAATCTTGTATATCTTTCAGGTTCTTGTTGTTGCACCAAGTCATGCTGCCTAGGAAAGGGATAGGAGCATGGAAAGGAGTAGGGGTAGGTGCAGGGACAGGGGTAGGAGCTGGACAGGAACAGAGGTAGGAACAGAGATAAGGTTAGGAGCAAGGATAGGGGTAGAAGCAGGAACTAGGGTATTTGCAGAAACAGGTGTAGGAGCAAGGACAGGGGTAAGGGTAGGGAAAGAGGAAGGAGCAGGGACAAGGTAGGATCAGGGACAGGAGTAGGAGCAGGGACAGTGTAGGAGCAATGATAGGGGTAGGAGCTGGACAGAGGTATGCGCAGGAACAGGTTAGGAGCGGAGAAAGGGTTAGGAGCAGAGACAGAGTAGGAGCAATGATAGGGGTAGGAGCTGGACAGAGGTAGGCGTAGGAACAGGGTAGGAGCAGAGACAGGGTAGGAGCAGAGACAGGGCAGGAGCAGAGACAGGGTTAGGAGCAAGGATTGGGATATGAGCAGTTGACAGGGTTAAGAGTAAGGATAGGGGTAGAAGCAGTGAAAGGGGTGGGAGATGGCGAAGGGTAGGATGAATGTGAGTTTTAAAAAGGATGGATTGAGGATTCCCATATAAAAATCATTAATTTAATGTTCCGTTTATTTCATCATAAAACTTTTTTCTCCCTCTTCCTTTATCGCAATTGGATTGAATACAACATTGATTGTATCTAAACTGTAGAAAATAGAAACTTATAAAGACAAGTTGATAATTTCGGTTTCTTTTTTTCTTCTTTAAATCAACTGTATTTATTGTCCTGGAAAGATTTATTTTACACAGAGGAAATGAGTTTGCAGAAAAGAAAATGTTCAACCCAAATACAAAAAAAATTGTCTTTTTATTGGATTAAATGATTTAACTTTGATGAAGATAAATAAATTGATGATATTAAAGGGGCTTTAGCCAACATTCAAATATTGTTTGAATCAATGATCAAAATAAGTAAAAAGAATCCTTTAAGAAAATTTACATTTTCATTAGCTCTATAGCACATTGTGCATTGAACATTTAGTGTACAGTATACGCAGTACTATATAAAATATGTATATATAATTCTTAACATATTCAGCCAAAAATCTTCCATTTTAAGTTTTTAAAAAGTATACTGCAGTATCTTCATGAAACCCGGTATTGGAACCCGGGTTTCGAGAATAGATTAAGAAAATTTTGTAGATATTTTTTGGGCCAAAGTATTATTTCAGATGGTTAGTCATTTCATTTTCGAATTCTTTAATTAATATCTACGCAAAGTCTAGACCAAAAGAGGAAACTCGGGAGTTTTATTTAACAATATATTGACAAGAAACATGCAGTACATCTTTTTGAAACCAATCAGTTCATAGTTTTGGTTCATTTCCGGGATACAGTTTTTTACAATTCCTTTACAATATCCGTAGTAAGAGACACATTACGGATTTAATCCTAGATACAATTCTATCCTGGATATATAGATTCCTCCTCCAGGATGTATGAATTCTTGATAGTCTTATTTGATATTAGTTTTGTGTTTGCTCCGACTCTGATTATCTAAGTCCTGCATACAGCCTCAATACATATAATTTATATTATATATTAATATTCTGTAAGATCTAATACTGGAGATCTGAACCATGAAACAGTTTTGCTTCTCTTTCTGGCTCAGCAGAATAGAATATATAAATCATTCTCAACCTGAACCAGTTAAATAGGTTTATACACAGATTCTGTACACTCAGCATATTTGAGTGGAATAACCTTTAAATATTTTAATCAAATTGGAATATTTTTCACATTGAGTTGCGGGTTTAGTCATAACTAAAGAACAATTTAAAAACGAATACTTTTTCATAAAACCAAATTTGTTCGAAACCTAAACCATTCTTTTCAACCCTAACCAACTCTATGAAATCATGACCAGTCCTATCCAATTCTAGATAATCATATCCAATCCTAACAAAATGTATCCAATTCAGTTCTTAACCAGTTCTGACCAGTTCAATCTAATCCTATCCAACTTTGATTAATCTGACCAACCCTACCCAACCCTTTTCATATATTTTCAATCATATCCTCCCCTATCCAATGTTATAAATAACCCTATACAATCCTAACCAATTCTATCTAATCTTAACCAATTATATCCTATCCTAACNACCAGTTCTATCCAATCCTAACCAGTTCTATCCAAACTTATCATGTTATATCCAATCCAATAACATCAAAGGATACTTTTCTGCTGACTCTGTCTGATTGTCTGTTCCTAATCTTCTTATTTGTCACATTAATACTGCTGCACCATTGTTTTTGTCAAAGAAATTAGAAATCTTATAGTATATAAAAACCTGGGCTAGGAGAAGCTTTGTTTTAGTATTGTTTTATTTTTACATTATATGTGTGTACTTTCTTTAAGTTTCTCTTTAAGGGTTCCTTCTTTTTTCATAAAATAATTGATTTTCAATTATTTTTTATCTATTTTTTCTCTGATCACATTCAATTTTAAGGTTGAGTTTGAACTCGAGGTTCTCAAAGATAAGAGAGAAACTCTGACCCAGCTTCTGCTTGATCTTATTCAGAAGAAGAAGGAGAGGGCAGATGATCTCCAGGTTAAATATTTGTATACCTTTTCTATACCTTCTGATCAAACCCATAGTAATCATTACATATCATCTGATTCAACCCATAGTAATCATTCCATATTATATGATCAAACCCCTAGTAATCATTCTGTATTTTCTAATCAAACCCATAGTAATCTTCCATATCCTCTAATCAAACCCATAGTAATCATTCTATATTATCTAATCAAACCCATAGTAATCATTCTATATTATCTGATCAAACCCATAGTAATCATTCTGTATTATCTGATCAAACCCATAGTAATCATTCCATATTTTCTAATCAAACCAATAGTTATCTTCCATATCCTCTAATCAAACCCATAGTAATCATTTCGTATTATCGGATCAAACCCAGAGCAATCATTCTATATCCTCTGATCAAACCTATAGTTATCATGCTGTATTATATGATCAAACCCATAGTAATCATTCTATATTATCTGATCAAACCCATAGTAATCATTCCATATCCTCTAATCAAACCCATAGTAATAATTCCATATTATATGATCAAACCCATAGTAATCATTCCATATTTTCTGATCAAACCCATAGTAATCATTCTATATTATCTGATCAAACCCATAGTAATCATTCCATATCCTCTAATCAAACCCATAGTAATCATTCTATATTATCTAATCAAACCCATAGTAATCATTCTATATTATCTNCCTAGGATATTTTCCCAAGCGGCAACTTCCAAAGTCTGTTCTAACCGCAGCGCTTGGCCCCAATTGCAGTCTGTGGCGCCTCAGTAGGCCTAACCTTATATGTACATTTGGGAAGTTGTCCGTTGGGAAGTGTATTTTTAAATGTATAATGTGTAAATAGGTATAGACTTAACTCAATAATTAAAAAGATTATAATGATTTTTCCTAATTGGTCATTATTCTGGATATTAGTCATAATAGAATAATATTATGTAAAGTTTGTAGTAAACATTATGTACACTATGTACACTGTACATTAAACAGAGTACCGGTACTATATACCAAGTAAGAAACTTGTCACTTGTTCAGGATCTCCTGGGTGAGATTGAAGCTGGTAAACTTGAGACCCAAGAAAACTACTGGTTAATCCAATATCAGAAACTTATGGAGTCTAAACCTGCCGGAGTTCAGACCATGGAGGGAGAATTAGATCCTCAGGTAGGATAGACCTTAGTAAACCTTAACCTTTGTAAAGCTGGACCTAGAGTAGAGATTAGTAAACCTGGACCTAGAGTTCAGATTAGTAAACCTTGACCTAGAGTAAAGATAAAGTAAACCTTGAACTACAGTAGAGATTAGTAAACCTGGACCTAAAGTAGATACTGAGATAGATTAGAGATTAAGTAAACCTGGAGTAAAGTTTTAATACACCTTGACCTGGAGTAGAGATTAAGTGAACCTGGAGTAAAGTTTAAATACACCTTGACCTGGAGTAGAGATTAAGTATGTCTGGAGTATAGTTTTAATAGACCTTGACCTGGAGTAGAGATTCAGTAAACCTGGAGTGAAGTTTTAATAGACCTTGACCTGGAGTAGAGTAGATTTTAAGAAAACTCATCTGAAGATAATCTAATATAAAACAATACACTCCAAGATAAAAAACTTGATATCAATACTTGAAAAAGAAAAATTAGAAGATATTTCTTTTTTAAAAATATCACACATTTTTTCAGAGCGATTATAATAGTAATACTATGTAAAGTATTCGTACGCCCCTGATTTTGTTTAGTTTTAGCCTCTTTTCCTAATTTCTCCCTACAATTATTTTATTTATTATTCACGTGGTTATAATGGAAACTAGAAACCACTAGAGCTATTCAGTATACATGTATATATATACATATATATACAGGATCCAAATATTTATTTTGATTAGTACTGAGTAATCTAGTTAGGATGTGTGTGTGTGTATCTAGGAGAGTAGAGCTAGAGCAGGAGGGTTTAGACTGAATAGGGAATAACCAAGTTAGATCTGGTTGATTAACTGAAGTAGGAGGAGGAGGGAAGATCTGTTTTGTTTACCATACTTAAAATTATTTTTCAGCACAAGAAATAACAACAGTACTCTGTTCAACTGATGTACAAGGTTACCCACAAAGGATGAGACTTTAAAGACTACTGTACGAGTTTATTTAGTCCTTTTTTGTACTACCCTTGTTCCTTGCAAGTAAAATCATGTTTATTTTTTTTCCAAATCATTTAGCAAGCCATTAGTATACTGTTTTAAATGCAGGAGGAAATTTTAACCTTCTGATCGTCTGATTTAAAGAGTTTTGGGTCGTCATTAAAGTCTGATTCTTTGCAGGTAACCCTGTATATTAGTTTTATTCTGAACTGGTTTCCATGTTCCAGAAAGTTATTCGTGGATTTTAACATTAAATGAAGAAGTACATTTTAGACATTTGTTTCTAGGACCGTTGTTAATCTTTGATATAATTCTCTAATCAGGTGGTAACTCTTAAAGGAATTGAGTTTTTGGCTAATCTAATCTTCTAATCCCTATATTTTTGCAAGCCATTATCGTAGACCTTAGATATTTCAAACTATGAATTAGTTTTAAATATGAAAGGTTTACATTATCAGGTTTCAAAGATAAAGAGATATTAACAATCCCTTTGGTACCAATAGAAGATTGGGACCACTGTAAGTTCTGTTTATCTGCAGTATGCTTCCAGCTCGGCTGTTGTCTCAAACTTTAAGAAATCATCCAACCTTAATCCTGCATTTTGGTGGAAAACTTAACTTTATATATTTTTATTCTGCTCAGGTTCGGAGGGTTCTAGCTGGAGCAGGAGCGGAGAAACTTATCCCTATCTTTGCAAGGAAAAAAGTTACCTTCAAAGAGCTGTCATTTGCGGATCACGTGACTCTGAGACAGGTATTTACATATATATGGGAGGGGGGACATTTCTCATAGGCCGGGTTTTAAAATAATTTGACATGGTTGAATTTTAAATCTTGAAATATATTTAGTATGGAGTAGACAGTGAATATACAAGGAACCAAATACTCTCAGCCGTGGAGACGATGCTAATCAGTCAGAACGGATCTACAGCTCCATCAGCTCCGGAACCTATCCTAGACGACTCCGTTCCTTCAGCTCCGGTCGACGATTCAGCTCCATCAGCTCCGATTAGTAATATCATTGAAACATTTCATACTGGAGAATGCGTGGTTTGCATGGAACGTAAGGTAAGCTTTTTTCCATTTCTTGGCTTTTTCTCAAAAAAATACTTGTAAAAAAGTCACTATTGTGTATATATATATATATATATATATATATATATATATATA